ATCGCCGATTTTGCAATATTTTGTTTGAGGAGCAATATCATATGCAACTTTATAAGAAATTGTCGCGTTGATCTTGATGATCTTTTGTGGCTAAATTTAGATTTCCCGAAATTAAACAAGACAAAGCAAACTGCCTTGCGCAAACTTGGCGCCGTGCAAACGAAATTTAAATAAATATTTTCCATTTTCTTTATCTTTGTTTTCTTGAGCAAAGAGAAAAGAATATTTTGTGTATGAGTCATAGCTAAACTTAGATGTCCTATTGAACCACGCCTAAGCGACGAAAGTAGGGACTCGTTTACGTCAGCCTACAATGACTTATCAGATATTATTTTCTCTTTGCTCAAGGAAACAAGGATAATAAAAGTGAACAATAATTATTTAAAATGTTGTTTTGTTTGGCGAAATCTAAATTTAGCCAGAGGGCATTGAGATTAAATTAGAATAAACCTTCAGCGGAGTTTGCCAAAGTCGTCCCTATTAAATTAACGATATTCATTTAAATTTCGTTTGTATAGCACCGTGTTTGCGCAAAGCAATTCACTAAATTCCCTGTATTGTTCTTAGCAGTCGTCAGTTGTTCGCGGCATTGCGTTGTAAACGTTACAAAGACTTTCGTGAATATTTTGTTAGATTTCAGTTTTTACTGTTTGATTGGGGTCAAAGGTCAGAAATAGGGAGGGGTCTGGTCCCCTTTGGTATCATATAGATTTGGACCAACGCGAGTGGGATATTTAGAAGTCAAATTGGGGGGGCTATTTAATTTGCCTTCAATTATCTGATCAGACTCAATGAAGCAGTATGTGGGCGATAGTTGTGATAAGAGGTATGGCTGTTTTAGGAGGCAACTTGTATTCAAGGATGTGCCCAGCTTATAGGCAAAGCGTTAAAAATGTTTAGGATACAGTGATTCAGAATAATCGTATGCTAATGATGAGCTAATGTTGCTGGCATGTTACGTTTCAATGGTTTTTGATTGGGGATGAAATAAAATAGTACTGATATAAACGAATAATATTCTGTAAAGATCGCAGTTGCAGTTTTTCCAGTTTTCTTCAGTTAGGATATTTCTATTTTAACTATGCCTCATTGATGCAGGGTCCATAATGACAGAAGATCAATATTGTCAATTTTTGAAAAATGTGACATGAGTTAATTTTGTTGTGGCGTATTGATATATCAGCGATCGCTAAGTTGAAAAGTATATAACAAGCTAACGTTGAACCCACGTCACGTTATAAACCACCTCGTTTAAATACTTTTATATTTCGTTATGCTGTTACAAAATGGGAACAATATACTGGCTTTTTACTATCAATTCGTTGCATTTATGAGAGCGCGAGTAGAACAGCGATAGCATCCAAGTGTCTTAGAATGTTTCTGAACCCCTGGTATAAGATTATTCGTCGAAATAATTCTCATGTCACGCACGTAACGTGATGAAATTGGCGGGGGAACGGCGTGGTTACCATAGATATTCTGAGAACGTGACTGTTTTTAATCTCATTTTTTCTATTTGATTTGTTGTTCGGCCACCTGATCATATAAGAATTATTTATTAGACGTAATTCTGTTACTAATTTGCGATATGCGATGTAAATAATTATGTATCGCAGCATACTGGTGCCTTAGTAAACAGTTTCAGAAAACGTTAGTTTGATAAGGTGTGAGTTGTTAGGCAATTCCAGCGTTTTTACTGTTCTTTATTCTTTCAGGTAGTTATTTAGGGATAAAACAAAGGCGGGTAGGAGGCGTGTAGTTTAAGACGTACGTGGTGGTATTCAGAACCTTTCTCAATTGTGAATCAAAATATTGGTATATTGAATGTCGGCACACTGTTATGAAACAGGCATAATTTATCCGCATTTTATAATCAATTCGTTACATTACGTACCGCTACGCTACCTAGAATTTATAATGCAAAACAGTAAATGAGCATCGGAGGTGTGAATTAAGGAACAAGCTTCACTGATTTTACATGCTTTGCTACGTAGTGGTACGATTTTTTTTACAGTGTGAACAACAAAGCGTGAAATGGTCGAGTGAGCATCGCTGTGGTTATGATTGCGTCCCAATGTCTACGTGGGGAGGGGTGCAAGGTCATAAGACATCGTTTTGATAATGTCGCAGGTTATCTCTATGTTTCTTTTTAAAGTTGTTAAATTGCAGTAAGGTCAAAGGACAGGAAACAGGAAAGAATGTCTATGTTGCGATTTCTAGGCGGCAGTTTTGATGAGATTTTATCAGAGACAACTTGCATGTAAAGGTACCGACTAGATTTCTTTGGAAGAAATTAGAACTTTCAGGCAAGCACTGTAAGAGTCCATAACATTAAAAAGTTTGGGAACCAGTGATTCAGCGGGACGTAACTAGACAGAATAATATCATGCTGATGATGGAATAATGATGCTGCCATTTTACGCTCCAATAGTTTTTAGTTGAGGATGAAATCGAATCATATCAAAATAAACGAATTATATTCTGTAAAGAGCGCAGTTTCAGTTTTCTCCAGTAAGGAAATTTTCAATTTTCCACTATGCCTTATTGATGTCCATAATGACGGAAAATCAAAATAGTCAATTTTGAAAAATGGGACGTAAGCTAATCGTGCTGCCTCGTGTTGATATATCAGCGATCACTAAATACTTTTATATTTCGTTGGGAACAGTATACTGAGTTTTTGCAATCAATTCGTTTCTTACATAGGAAAAGTATCGCTAATGGTACAATGTTAGCATTCAAGTGTTTTACAATGTTTCTAAACTTCGGTATAAGGTTATTCATTCTTCGAAATTTATCCCTTATGAGACTAGTACGCATGTAACGTGATCAATTTGGTTGGGGAACGGTGTGGTTACCACAGATATTTTAAGAACAGTTTATATAAATAGTCAAACTGGTTCAAACAACGAGCGACTCCATTTGTACACGACGGGCGCTGAAAGCTACTTCACGCCGCTAAAATGGGTGGGAATGGGGTGTGTTCGGAACGAGTTGTTAAGAACTCTAACAATGCAATTTAGACCTCTTACAGTGCAAAAGGCCAAATAAGGGACATGACGCAGTAGGCGAATTACGAGAATTTACAGTTTTTGGGAGACCTGGATTCATATGCGGTGAGAGCGTACTGCGAAATAAGCTAAGATAAGACTGTCGTTCGATCGCTTATCTTTTAGGGATGTAGTATCGTAATTTAATAAACGGTTTGACGGCGAGCAGTAAATTATCTAACATAAGCTTTATCTGAAGTTTTTTACTTTTTCCTTCAAACAATGAATCGAAGATAAAAATGTCAAGATGGGCTTGTTATATCAGCTTGTAAGTGTCATGTATTAAATTGCTGTGTGCGAAAAATAGATAGGTGGCAAAGTTAAGATAGTATGAGATGACGAAAACTGATAAGACGACTCGATGATATGGCGAACCCCGGTCTTTCGTCCGGTTACCAGCCCATGTAGGTTATATGGGATTAGTTAGTTATTTGTTTTAGATGATAGTAGAGAAAACCGTTACCGACCAGTCGAATTGTTAAAAACACCAACTTCCAAGTTCGGATTAATCAAAATCCTGACTGCTAACGGAAGTAAATTTTGATACTCTCGTCCAATGACCAGTGTATTACCGGTATGGTACAAATACTAAACGTTAAGTAATCCAGTTACACTTGATTCACTGTGTGATAAAGATTATAGATCTGAAGAAAGATGCAATATTACAAAAATATTATTACAAAAATAAATTAGCTTTATAGGTTTTGGCTTTAGTATAACGTACATAGAGCGCTATGTGCATATTGCCCACCTGTTTGCTGTCAATGTGAAAAAATGTTTTATTTCATCAACACCAGTTATGTAAAATTTGATTAAAACTGGCATTGGCAGCGCGGAAAAGACGGTTACGCTGACTTTTTATCAAAAATTTACACCATTATCATAACCCTTTAACTGGTTACAAAAAGTGTTTCAATAAGTTTTCTCGGTGCGAGTTTAGGGAAACTACCGGGTAGGGCATTCACAAAAATATAGCTCGTAGAATATGGCTCTATAGCGCCACCTTCGCGCTTATGGTGAAATGTCTGTTGCGCACAAACATTTTTGGTAGAAAGCAAGATGGCGGACACCGGAACGTAGTATGTGCATCAGGTTGGGGTTAGGCCATAATTTCAGGTACAAATACTACGGGTGTCACTCGGCTAGTCTTTGAACTCGCAATAGAACTAAAATGAGAAAAATTGGAATAAAATTATGACCTAATCCTAACCTAGTACACATACCTCGTACCGATGTCCGCCATCTTGGTTCACATGCTTCGGTAGAGCCACATTTTCCTGGAGATTTGCCTAAGTCCAATATAATTTTACTTGTTGTACAGAGTATTTACGGTCCGCCGAATGGAGCATAGATGAGTCTTAATGTAAGCGAAGCGTTAAACGCAATAGATAGTATTGGCAGCTTTGTGACGAGCTCTTTTTGGACACGTAGCGGACATAACGATCGTCTCCGTCAACACGTTTTGAAGAAATCGCTTTTCTCTTCGAATACTGGACCAATTGTTTTGAAATTTTCAGTGGTTAAAGATAAAAATTTTCTCCAGAAGGCTATTACTTTTTTTGGCTATGACGTCATCAAAATTATGTGACCCTACGTGTCCATATATTTGAGCATAGCTCTCTTGTTTTATAAGCGCTTAGTGATGGGCTTATGTATTGGGAATCGGGTCTGTCTATGTCAGGGCCGAAAGCTGGGAATTTCGAGTGAAAGCTTCAGATGCAAAACAACCGAACTTGGACTCGAATCCGAAAGCGATATTATTGCGTCGATGTTTGTAACGTCTTAATTTATGACGTCACTTTTTATTATTATGTCATATTTTGAAAACTCGAATTTGAGTTTAACCAAAATTTTAATTAAGTCATCATGACGTTTATGTTGTTTATTGTTATTGGTATTATTGTTATTGTTTATTTTTTATTTTTTCAGTGCTCGGGGTTATATTCCAATTATATTGAGATATATTTTTAAAAATTAGTTATGGAGGTTTTATCCGGAAGAAATAGAAATTCAATGAAGCATATTGCTTCCTCGGTAATGATTCATGACAAGAAAGGCAGAGCTATAGTGAGGTCGGATCTTATCGGATTCAAAAAGGAGGCCAGTGGGTCATGGAAAGAAGTCAGCAGAAAGAAACGATTCCTTATATTGGAAGGCGTCATTCCTGGAAAAAAAACGAGAATACGCAAAGGGTTTATGTAAGTGGGCATTTAATTTTATATTTCCTGATAGTTAATACATTTACACAAAAAGAGTTGGGAAGGTCATTCGCTTGCAATTTAAAGGAGATTTAAATCTTTTGGAGTAACTCACTCAGAAGCAAATGGGTCTGCTTTCTTAGCGAAATAAGCACGATGAATATTTATATAATATTCATAATTTTCTCAACATGAGTTAATGCGCGCAAATAGATAAGTGATAGGACTGATCTTTGCGGACAGGTAGCGGTATCCACTGAAGTCAAAGGCACTCACTCGGAGATAAAAAAAAAAAAAAAGACTAATATCTGGGCAAAGTTACCTGGAACCATTGCAGAGCCAAGAACCACTGAAACTATGAAATTGTTTCTGAGTGTGGTCATATGCACTCACACAGAAGTAACGGAGACCCTTCTGTAAACAAAGATGCATACTAGAGCGCTATGGGGTCCGTGTTACCATAATAAAAGGATGCCACAGCAAAAGATTCAAAATTGTTGCTGCATGCTAACCTGATCAAATGAAAACTGATTTAACAGTAGTGAAACTCTTGATTCACTTAGAATAGTTATCTTTACTCTAGCTGCAGCATCCTTGCATATTATTCAAAAATAAAACAATAAAAATTACACTGCGGAAAATCATTCTGAGATGAGTTTTTTTCCTTTCAGTATCGACGATCAAGAAGACTCTGATATAGATGAATTGGAACTAGATGTAAGCATATTCACTTCTTAGTCGATTAGAATTTGCCTAAATTTATGATCCGCATGAAAATCATACTGAATTATAACTTTTTTTATGTTTTATTTTTATACTTATAAGTAGGGATTTGTTCAAAAAGAATTGTTTTGAAACAATTGTTTCAAATCGAGTTTTTTTTGCCTGTTTTGTTCAAAATGGCTGTATCATTTGATTTTTTTGTATTAAATAGGTTGAAGAAAAATGGATGTAAAAACTTGTCAAGCGCTTCATATTTGCAATGAATCCATTAAAACGCCACAAATATCGATATAGGCTCATACACACCTTCTCAAGCTGTAGTTCAGTGGTTGGCGCAGTAAGGCGCAACCGATAAGCCATTACGTGAACGACCCTGCGACGAAACCACCTTGCGAAAATTGAAATGCGATCGAATAAATGAGTTTGTATAACCTTGAAAAATTCTATCACTTCTATTTGATTATTCGGTTGACCAAGATATGACACATCGTTGAAATTTTACATCTGAGTGAAGTTTTATGTCTTGTCCAAAACTTTATATGCGACAATCTATTCCGCTGAAACACGTATTTATCATTCATATCTTTCATAGCAGTGGTTCCCAACAGGGTGCCATTGCAGTTGGAGGGGGCCATAATGATAGGCAGAAAACTGATTTTACATTCCTTATCACAAGAAAACTCCTCGGTCTTCCTAGTTTTCTTGATTGACAAGGGTATTTTACGGCATGTTTTCACTTTATTGACGATGAATTGTTTGAACCGAATGGGATTCGGAATCTGCCAATAGAAATAACACTATATACTACTATTCTATTGACAAACAGAGGGGAAATGAGTGCTAAAAGCCTTCGGAAGGGGCGACGAGCTATAAAAGGTTGGGGACCACTGTTCTATAGTTTTATAACTGATTAATTCTAGTCGATTTAAACATTTTTGTGTTACAGATATATGGACCCCCGTCAGTGCCTGTCAAGGCCGTACCTTTCCAAAGGTAAAACTCTTTTATACACGTAAACACATCTTTCGCTCTGAACGAGATGTAGATAATTTTCTGATAGATCTTAGAGCTGATTAAAAATGAAATTATTTGTTAGATTTTATATTGCCTGCCTTATTTGTTTCTAAAACTTTTCATTTATTTCATTATTTACGTTCCATTCACATATTTCCAACGTGTATTTTTCAATAAAACATACTTTCGCTTTACTATTTTTATTAGCAGCCGATTGCTTGAAGTGGGGCGATAGACAAATTCTCATTGGGGGCGAGGCTTAAAATGTTTGACAGTTACTGATTTAAAGCATATTTATTGAATTCTAATTATATATGCGTCTAATTAATTTTATTTTCCTTACAGGCCAACCCTAATGGCAACACGCCGGTGAGTTTTCTTGCTCTCTATTGGCTCTTAGTGTCGACAATAATTATCACTCGGGAGAAAGTCACTTGTGTCGAGAAGTCGATTAGGAAACAAATTAATTAAATCATAAATATATCTAAAAACACATACTTTTTACACCTATTTTAGTCACGCGACTTCACTAATTTTGTTTGAAATCACTAGAGTGAAGACAGCAAATAAAAAAAAAGATTTTTAGAGTTTGTGAGATACTTGACAATCTTTCACAAAACATATAAAAAATCGTCGAAGTCGCCCTATTGTGACAAACCGAGTTTAACAACGTAGAGATAAATCTTCCTGTTGTAATAAAGTCTTGGCGGGCCAGGTTGTGGCCCGCGGCCCTCCCGTTGCACACCCATGGTCTCGAAATAATGTTTAGGTTAAGCCCCGCATTCCAATTTATTTTAATGTATAACTAATCTACAGTTCATTTTGTAGTCGTCAATGTGGACGATGCGGCAGACACGAAAATGTTCCGCCTGACTGCGGCATTTGCGTAGGATGTGGACAGCACCCAGCTGTGGTAAGTTATATTCGCACCACAATAGCCACCGGCTTGATAAATTTTGGACTCCAAAACTGCGATCTAGGATATGGTTTACATATTTATTTCGAGGAGAAAAACCAATAAAACGCCAGTTGTGAGCATCATTAAATAATAATAAAAAAACAGGGTTCAACGATCATCACGACATTCAAATTACGAGTTTGTGCAAATTCTCAGAATCCCACCCTCGCTCTTAAACATCACTGAATAAGTTAGCAAACTAAGTAATGGTAACAAATTAAAATTTTGATTTTGATTTTACAGGCTCGTTGTTTCAGCACCTCGTCCATGGTTTGTCTACGCTGTCGACAAGGAATCAGGTCTTCTTCATTAGAAGAAAGTTGCCCCAGATGTTCAAACGGACCAAGAATTACACGCAATTAGACCAAAATAAGAAGTCATGGACAAGGATTGAAGCTTTCCCGAAACTAGAAGCAAAGTATTTTACTAGAGTCTATGCCCAATGCTTACTGCCAGTTCACCTGCAAGACAATAAAATTTTTTTTTAAAACTTCATCTATGCTCAAGTTAATTTTCCAAAGACTTTAGCCATGCCCAACTTAGCTATGTCAAAGTATTTCTTAATAAACTTTGGTAATGTCGAATCATCATATTTTCAAACGCATTTTTCACTAAATAATATCACATTGAATTAATAACAGTAGCCTGCGTTTCTCCCTTGTCCATGGCATAGATTTATAAAGAAAACCTTATTAACATACGTTTTCTACCAAATCTGTTAATAAAGTAATTCTTCAAAAAAAAAAAAAACGAAAAAAAAATATAAAAAAAAAATTAAAAAAAAATGTCATTTTGAATATCATCCAAATGACACTATATTACAGTGGTTCTCAAACTTTTTAAGCTGTGGACATTTTTTAGAATTTGTTAAGTCTCACGCCCGACTTGACATATTTATAAATATGCAGAATAAACCGGGCAATCTAACAAATATTTTTATTTTAAATTATATTTGCACCCCCTCAATAATTTTTCCACGTCCACTGATTGAGAACCACAGTTCTCCTTAATCCCTAATAAAAGACAAAATGGCCTCTTATCTCCGTCTGGAAGATATATGTCACAAAATTTATTTTGTTTTTTTTAACCGTAGAACAAGAATAAAAATACAATTTTGCCAGCCGGACCTTTTGAATTGCCTGTGACCCACTGCTTTGGCGGTCGCGACCAACAGGATGAGAATCGCTTGAGTGTTTAACGTTTAATGTTAAGCTTTATTATCTGCCAATGTTACTCCCTCCACCCTCAATTATACAGAGCAAATTGGGAATGGGACTTTCAAGAAGTTGCGAATCAAAACGATTGAAAACTTTGCCGGCCTCCATAGGAACTGCCATAAGAACTAACAAATCTAATTCCCTGCCTTGAAACCAAACAACTTTTCTTAACCTTCAATAGACGTCTCTCTTTGCCGAATGAATTCCAATGTCAAACGGGATTTTCGTATAGAGGTTTTAGTGTCGAATCAGAATAAATTGCCCCAATTTTTTGTATTATGAATTAAAAGTTTTATAATTTTGAACACATTCCCCACAAGTTAAAATATATATCTCATATTCCCCTATGCATATGGCCTATAATAGTCAACATCGGCTGACATCGGTATTCCGATATCAGATAATTACCGATTTTCTAATATCGAGTAAATCACCTAAGGACCTATAGTGTTTTTCAAAAACCTAGTTAATTCCGGAAACACTTCAAGACGATTTTTATAGCTCTTATAATTATATTGATATCGATAACAAGGCAATATATTGGTACAACTGTATATAGTAATCTTTCCACATTTTTTCCACCTTTTTTTTCGTTCATATTTTTATAGTTTATTACTGTATGTAATCATGCAATTAGTTAATAATACATAGCACTAATTAATTGAAATTTCCAAACAGCTGAAAACGATTAGGTTCGCTGTATAATAGTACTTAATGCTTGTGATAATACATATATAGAAGTGAATTAATAAATATCAATTTTATTTACTGTTAGCTACTTGTGCCACCCTCAGAAGATACTTTTGTTTATTTTTTTATTCCCAGCCTTAACCACAGGGACTGTGGTTAGAAGCATGTTGTTGCAAATTGCAACATTTAATCGCCCATTTTGTATGGGCAAATGTGTATATATTGTTTACTGGTCCTCAATTTTTTTTATTGAGATGTAAAAATATTCGATGAATTGATTAATATTGTAGTGTCAAGTTGATTTTACTATTTTTTCATTTGTTTGAATAATTTTCTATTGTAAATATGCGCTTGATTGTAGACTAGTAATAAATAAAAAAATATTATAAATAAAGTGGTACCGAGTTGATATTCTACCGCTATATATAACGGTGTAAAGCAGGGTATGCAATCTGCGGACCGCAGAGCAAATTCCGGCCCACAAGGGAAAATTGTCGGGCCCGCGAAACGAGTTTTTAGATTACCGTACATTTGAACACACGTACATTTGAACCCATGTGTATATCCGCGGCTTCAATCTATATGCAGGTGATAAAACCCATGGGTTAGGGTTAGTATGGGTTCAAATATCCGTAAAACCCAAAAATTTCCATAGGTGCAATAGTATGCTGGTGCAATTGTCGTGGGTTCAAATGTACGTGGGTTCAAATGTAATGGAACCAAGTTTTTAATTAAGTTTAATCTCGTACGTGCGAGTAATTCCAAGTCTATACCTGAGTCCATTTTTTTTATCTATGCCTATGACGTTGCAATAGCAACAGCTAGCTTGTGCGGAGCGAACAACGCATGTCGTGAAAACAATAACCAAAATTTTTGTGCCTGTAACTGCTAAAAAGCCTATGTTAAATAAACATGCGACCCACGGTTTCACGGTGGAAATAACCTAGTAGTCTGCATACACAACCAAAAAGAAAAGAACGGTACTCGCTGGCGATCCAGAAGTATGTGTACCAATATGAAGGTAACTAGTTTTGTTCGCCTACTTTACATCAAGTTGTGTAAAGGGACTGAAACCTATGGGCGAGGGGGTATATTCACTTCTCTAACACAGACAGTTCCCGAACTCGAAATAGAACTAAAATAAGAAAAATCGGAATAAAATTATGCCCTAACCCTAACCTGGTACATACGCCATGGGAGTACTCACAAACCTAATAGGCTCGGCAGCACCTCGATCAATTAAAGCGAAGTTGAACAGGGCTTTCAACACAGATAGTTTTCCACATTTTAAAGGGTTTCAAAAATAATTTAGAGAAACAAATTTATGAACACAATTGAATGAAATGTTAAATTGTCATCAAAAAGAGTTTGTGAATTTTTAAATCATAGTTGAATTTTCCACGAATTTTCTAATTAAAATTAACGCACTTCAAGAGTCCTGCTGCACACTAACACAATTGTATTTCTGTAACGTTCCGTCTGACCAAAATCAAACTTTCTCAGACAAGCACTTTACAACAATGACAAGAAAAGAACAATCATGCATTTTAGGTTGGTGTTCAAACTGCATGCATGTTAAAACTGATAGTTAAAATAAACGCTTCAAACATTTCAAATAAATGCTCATTTCGAGTATGGCGGCTCAAGCGACTAACTAGAATAGGATAGTTATGATTTACACATTTATTTCGAGAGAGATGGAAAGCCCATTAATCATATGACCCATTAATCACATAGCCAACCACAGCCTCTCGTCTCGACCAGTCCATTTCGGGTCTAGGATTAGTTAGCTAGTTATTTGTTTTTGGAAGCATGGACTTGATAACTAATTTTATCAATTCCTTCATTGTGTTAGATTGATATCGTGCTACCTTTACTATCGAATGCAAAATTACAAAACCAGAATGGAAATAATCACTGGTACTCACCAACATTTGAAGATGATCCTTGAAGAAAGTCTCTTTATCCACCTACCTAAACTATATGAGCTAATAAAGCTCTAAAGTTCATTTGAATTCAACAACTATAAAACTCTGCGTCGAGTACAAGGCAACCTAGTTTGTTTACAAACAAATCCAAAATTGAAGATAAAATGGAAAGGCAGTATCTTTCTAAATTGATTAATTAGTTTCGAGTTGGGCCATCGCAACCTTTTATTCGTGAATTAAATTCCGATGCGGTCGGTTTTATAAATTTGAACACATTTTCCACATATTATGAATAAAAAACGAAATATAAAGTTAATTAGACCTGTGCGGTCGCATTGGGCTCCGCACTTCCAGAGCCCCCCTCGCTAATTATAGGCGTGAGGTATTGAATTTAATCAATTCGAACTATGTATAATCATGTATTATAAGCAGTGCTGCCATCGATATGAAACCAAAAATAAGCACATCGGGGAAATATAATAATTTAATAACAAAGAACGAAATGTAATAAACAAAATGTATTCATGCCAGTTTGAAACGTGTCTAATCATACTTCGCACTAGAAAGAATTTGCTCCAGCAGTTCTTTATTCGGTGCTCGCGAAGTATGTGCACTAAGATGGCGCACAACCTGAACATAATATAGGTACCAGGTTCGGGTTCAGGTTGTGCGCCATCTTGGTGCCCGATAAAACATTTGGACATTTTTTTTATGAATGTACAGAAACCAATCAAACGGCGTCTATATAGAAAGAAACGTGATATTATTCGCTATGTATATTTTTCGAATGCGCGAAAGGATTTCGATCCCCCCCCCCCTCAAAAAAAGAGCTAGAAACTATAGTTTCAAGTTTGGGTTTAATAAAAAGCCCGCTTTAGTGTATCAGCTGTGACCGACTTCGTGTGTACCAAGGATTTAAGTCTGTAATTTTGGAGTAGGTCACTTGCCCTATTATAAAATCCCGGTTACCTTCCTGGAATCAGGCAATTAGCGAGAAATTGAAATTTATATCTTGCATAACCCGTCAATACATTTCGACCAATAAATCAGGAAAAGAAAAGATTGAATATTCAATATCTTCGTAGTTTTTCATTCTAAAAATACTGCACACGATACAAATTATTAGCATCAGCATGTCATTACTTTTAATTCTGCTTGGAAATATTAATCTTGGATATTTGTTCAAATTTGTATGCACTTTACCGTCTTCCTATATAATCTTATTTTCGTTGAAGCGTTTTTATTTCATGAACATTTAATGTAATCATTCCATTACACCACGAAACCGGCCTCGGCTCTGTTAAACAGAAATTCTACTTAGACATCTGACTGCGGGTTCAATCACATCCAGAAGAAAAACAGACAGCAAATATTATAGAAATTTTCCTAGTCAAAGATAGTTGGATTATTATATGTAAGTCAATAAATATGAGTTTATTTCGACTTCATAAGATTCAAAATTTAGATAATATCATAAGATTGTCTATTACAAAACAATTTTAATTGCACATTACCGTTACATGTCACTAGAGAGCAGCATTATCAACATCTCCACCTTTTGCCACTAGGTTTTGATAATGAGTCGAAAATATAATGAGCTTTCTTAATAAGCGGATATCAGTATTTTCAAAGAAAAATTGGTATTCCCGAAGTATGTGAACCAAGATGGCGTACACCGGAACGACGTGGTAAACTTACTACGTCCATCTTGGTTCACATACTTCTGGAGTACCAATTTTTCTTTGAAAATACTGATATCCGCTTATTCGAAGTGTTGGCAAGCCCCTAGGCCCCTAATTATAATAGCACAATGAAAATGGAGTGTTCGACGATTTTCTAATTTCTCCGTGATTTGAGTTACAGGAACAATGATTGGCAGTCAATGTTTCAAACAATTTTGGTAAAGGGAATTTTAACCTGCCAAAGTAAATTTCAACTGGAACTAACTCAGAATTGCAAAGTGTCAAACTGGATGGCATAAAGCAATCTTTTTTTAATGAGACTCATTCGCTCGCTTCTGTTTCCAAATTCAATTCAACCAGAGGCAAAAAAATACAAAAAATGGTCTAATCAAATATAGATACACTTTAAACAAATGAATATAAATCAAATTTAGCAGCAAACTCAACATTTCAAGATTTTATTCTTGTATATATATATTTGTATATTAAAACAACAGCTGTTTCCGGCCGGGGGACCGTGGCTCACAGAGGGGAAATAGAGCGGTTGGAGGAGCAACAGTGCTTGGCTCTGAACTGATTTTAAATTTCCCCTCACAATAAAAGTCCCTGATCTTCATATTTACATTGCTTGATAAGATTATGTTTTTACTTTGTTGAGCATGAGCTGTTTAAACATAATGAAATTCGAAGTCAACTAACCATAATATCACACTTAATACTACTGGAATGATAAACAGGACTCATGAGTGCTAAAAGCTTCTGGAAGGGGCCACGAGTAATAAAAGGTTGGGAACCCCCGATGTACACCTTATCGACAATTAACTCTTACTTAGCTTGTGTTTTTTATTGCATACATTTGCAGATATTCATAGTTTTCTTTTAACTATATGCCAGTGCTGGGGAATTCGAGACATTGTCTCGAATCAAGTCACTATTTTCTAAGAATCGAGTTATTGAATTCGGACCCGAGTAGCCGGTGACTCGATTTCTGACTCGAGTCTCTTACGACCCGTGGATCGACTTGACTTGCAGTCAAGGGACTTGTAGCCAACACTAGTAATGCACTTGAAATTCGTTTCATATGGCGCTCCAAGTATGTGTATCAATATGGGAGTAACTAATTTCGTTTGCGTACTTTACATCAAGTTGTATAACGAGACGGGAGCCTATGAGTAGGAGGTATATTCACTTGGCTAACACAGACAGTCTCTGAACTCGTAATACAACTAAAATGATCAAAATCGGAATAAAATTATAGCCTAACACTAATCTGGTACACATACTACGGGAGTCCTTTCTTAATGCATACAATTTATAAAGTCAAGAATAGATCATATTTCATTATAGGAGAGAATGTCCTTATCTGCGTATCCTAACCCCAGTGTTAATATACACACGTTGACGGGGTAAAACCCCAACTGCAATCTTGCAGAAGTCAATAAGTACACAATATATTATAATTCCAAATGTTCGTATATTGTAAAGTTGCTCGATCAGATTGAATCCAAACAGATCTTTTTAAATTTACACTTAAATCCTAATATCAGTTAAATTTGGGTAAATTTGTCAAGTCTCGTGCCCCCTTCTAAAATAACTATATATATAGCAAAAAGATACAAATAACAGATAGTAAGGCGGAAGTATGTTTTATTCAAAAACACGTAGAAAACACGTGGATGGAATCGCAATCTATAAACAATAAAGAAATTTAAATATTCAAATTGATGCAGCAAGATTGGATTCAACAAATATTTTTATTTTCAATTAGCTTCACGCCGCCTCAAAAAATGCCCCCCCCCCCTTGCGGGGCGCGCCACACCGTTTGGGAAATTGGTTGAAATCCAAATCAGTAAGCAAAACAAAAATTTGAAAACACATAATATTTTCAACTGTCGAATGGAGGCCAGAAGCAGGTCAGAAATTGGTTCATACAAAGGAGCATAGCAAGTCAAGCCTTGCTACGATAAATCACCATCAAGGAGATTGCTGAAATGACCTATTTCCATTGGATCCAACATGCTATTTATACAAAAGAGTAAAATAACATTAACATGCATAGTTACATTTCTCATTCGCTACACTATCGTTATTCTTAAAACAAGGCATTTCAATTTCAAACCTACGATATATATTTATAGCAGCAGCTCGGTTGGTCTGATTATTCGTAAATTTACTATGGCTAATCAACATCTACAATAAAACATATAAATAAATACATACTATTTTATGTGGTGACTGCATGTTAGTGCATCCAGTTTCGTGATGCGTACTAGCAAAATAAAAGATTGCGGCAAACCTAAAGTATTTGAATATATTTAAACAACGTACATGTATTAACTAAGAATTCTCGGATTTGAATAGAAACTTATGAACTGTACTGTTGGAACCAGTGATTTCCTTACACTCCCCTATAAGGGGTGAACACCCCCAAAAATTTCAAATACCCCCTCTCTCTAGTTTTCAAGTGTTACACCATACTGTAATTCCTAACGTGAATAAAAGTGTATTTGAATATCCAGAAAGTGGCTTATATGCCGGTGAAGACGGTCAGGCTAATACATAACACATTTTTATAAGTCACTAAAAGTTTTCTTACTATTAACAAAATATCCACCCCCGCCCGCCTAAATTTGAAAACACACCCTAAAGCTGGGTAACATATTGGCCGGAACCCCAGTTGAAAATCACTGAGATAGAATTTCTAGATTTTTAGCAAGCTCGTCGAAGTTATCCAAGGTATATACGCGCGCATTTTTTTCTTTCTTGTTTGGTTCATTTGGGGAAAGAATTATTAATAGCAAGCCATTGGGGGGAGGGGAGAGGCTACAGCTACGCGGCTACAGATTAATGAGGTTTGGCGATACAAACTCTTGAATTAAAAATATTCTGGCAATTCAACAAAAATATGTTCATTGGCGGGCTGTAAGAAGGGTGCATTGAAAAAAGGGCAATGGGATGGAAAAAACTTAGTTTAAAAAACATAACACAATTTCTATAAAAACAGTCCTGTTAAATGCATTTTAATAACCGGGCAGTAGTTGAATTAAACAGGGCTGGCAAGTCGGAGAGAGTTCTATCCGGATTGAAAATAATTCTGATTTTAAACCTCGGATTCAAATAAATTTTGACTCCGACTTTTAACTCCGAAAAGATAAAATTTTGGTCACAATAACTTCGAGGTTCACAAATATTTTTATTAGTCATTGTTTATTGTTTATTTTGATTCCAATTGTTAAATAGAGCAGTGGGATCGGAATTATGCATGTTTTATTTTGAGTCGAAGCTGGAGTAAAAGTTCAAATTTTCTGGAAAATCCAAATTCTGACTACGACCCAGATAATTTGAACAATCAACTTAGACTTTAACAGCAGCATGAAACTAAGCTCCGATTCACCATTCGCGATTTGAAGGAATAAAAGTAAAGGAACTGTGTTATATTAAAGGGCAGCAAGTGAAGGTTAGTTATAGGTGAGTCTGTGAAGAAGAAGAAGAAGAACAGTTAAAGGAATGCTGAGAAGTATGAAAGTGTTATATATGATTTGAAGTTGATAAAGAAAGTAAGTAAAACGAGAAATAGAAAAAAGTAACAAGTATTTAAAATTCGAATACTTTTGTGAACATACGGAATAAAACCCTCTAAAAACAGAACTCAGATTATTTGGGACTTATTCTAGATCGATTGGGAACTGTATTTTAATAGTAGGTAGGGAATAGAAAATTAGTTATAGGTCAGTCTATGAAAATGGAGAATAGTTAGAGCAGTGAAGAAATGCAGAAAAGTATGAAAGAATCCTCGGGACGGAAACAGAAATCGAGAAAGGAAAGTCAGATGCAAATAGAGGAATACCATTTCGTTTTGAGTTGAAGATGAACAATGCTTTCGAATTCAAAAGATCCAATATAAAAACATAACGAAAATTTAACTCAAAATGAAAAATCTTCGGCTCATTGGAGCTTAGATTTTACTTTTTGATAAATAAATTTGAACATTTTTTCCTTGGCTAAAAGTTCTCGTGGAATAATCTCAACCAGAGTACTGTAGTTAAGTAGTATATACTACCATACTTTATAAAATCTACTATACTTGAGATGGGAAAGGGAAAAAAAGGGAAATGCGCATATATAAATAGAAAGAACTATAATCAATTAAAAAGATTGGCACAGTAATTATTCATAAACATAGCTTTCAGTCTAGTTGCAGTATTCAAAAATTGGCCCAAAAAAGTGAGATAGTTCAAAATTAACTATCATTTTTAAATCGCATAGCGTTATATCTTTGGTAATAAAAGGATTGTCTGCAACTTTAAAACAATTTTCACGAATGAGTAAAACGGTTAAACAGTAGAAAATATATAGGAGCACCGTGTACTTGAGCACCGTGTACTTATCAGCCAGTACCAATGGTAGTGTATACAGAGCGAGACAAAATCGGGTTTCGATAAGCTCAATCTAGTGGCAGACAACTATCCCAATCATGCAGTGTAACGGGATGGATTTGGCGCCACGCCACTGTGGCGAGTAACATGGTGTAGTGCTGACATGAGCAAACTACGGCTCGCGCGTCAAATACGGACCATTGGGTAGTTCATTATGGCCAGTCCGATGTTACCACAAGTAAGTAAAACCAAATTTTGACGTTTCAGCTAATAAAAACTCGGGAAATTTGTTAAGGTAGCGATTAAATTTAGTTTTGGCATCACGAGGTTTATTGTTTTTCGCTTTTGCTTTTAAAACACTGAAAATAGTTTTCATAAAATGTAACTTTTTACGTCACACTTGCATGGCCCGCCAGTCTAGTTGGGCAAAATTGTGGCTCCTGAGCCAAAAACCGTGGCTACCTCTGGTGCAGTGTCACGGGAAGGATTCGGCGACGCGAAACCCCGGCTTTAGTATTCATTACTGAGTAAGTAATTTTGTGTCATATTTTCTACTGCTGCTGATAATACTTGGTCTCGATTGTGTGGCTCGTTGCATTTAATATTTGGCCTCGATTGTGTTCATTCGATGGCACCAAACAGTGGAAGTTAATGGGAAGTAAATTTGTATTCGTCGCCTTCGACCTGTGACAAATTCCCATTTGTGACCACGTGGCGCCTTGACTAATCGTTCATAATCGTTCCCGGTGGCATGTCGACGCAGACGACATATAATCAGCGCCAGTTAATGATCCCCGTGACGGTCCGAAATCTTATGATATTCTGTACGATATTCTGCCGAATGTACAATTTGTACATTCGGCACTGACTGACTCTACTGACTTCGAAGCATCAGAGTCGCTGTATTTTTTAACGTCATGATACTTCGTAGCAGCATGTGAGTTATGCCATGGATTCGGCGCCAGCGACTTTCCTTGGATTTCTAGTCTAGTCTGAGTATGGGATAAATCTTCCTGCTAAAATGCCTTCCTCTCGTCATCGGCATGAACATGGCACCTTCCCATGGTAATGCATTCTCTGCAAATAAATGCAGAGCATCTCGTACAGCGCTCGTAGTCGTCAGTTGCAAGGTTGACCATTGCTCTGCAGATGACGCACATAGGTTCGGAAGAGGCCTTGTCAGACTGAAAAACGAAAATATATTATATCATTAGTATAGGTTAGAACCCGCAGTGTAAGAAGGCTTCAGGCCAGCAATCAGAAATATGCTTGTTTAGTCACATGGGTTCGGGGACTGTCTGTGTTAGCCAAGTGAAAATACCCCTTGCCCGTACGTTTCAGCCTCCTTACCCAACTTGATGTATAATAGGCGAACAAAATTAGTTGCCTCCATATTGATACACGTACTTCTGGAGAGCCGGAACAGAGCTTTTTTGAGTTTTTGTAAGAAGTTTCGACTTATTGATCAATGTTTATCACCGTTAAACGAATGAAATTGCGACTCAAAAGAATACAAACTTTCATTTCCTATTCCCGACTACGGTTAGTTCAAAGACTCACATTTGCATTGATGTTGCATCTTGGACATTGGAAAGTCGCCCAGTTGAAAAAAGTTGCCCAGCAGAACCAGCAAGGTTTCCTTGCCATTAGGAAAGGACAGTGAAGTTCGTGCCATTGCACGTTATTCGCATCTGTCTGAAGAACTTCGTTGATTTGGTGCTGTCGCCCACACCTGTAAATATAAGTTATAACTTACAACGCAAGTTTTAATAATTTTATATGAAACAAATTTAAAATTTTAGTTCAATTACATTAGGGCTGATATTTCATGACAGTGGTCATGACGCAAAACATAAATGCTTATGGGGTACTCCTGTAGTTTATGTACCAGGTTAGGGTTGGGCCATAATTTTATTCCGATTTTCCCTATTTTAATTCTGTTACGAGTTCGGGGACTGTCTGTGTTAGTCAATTGAATATACCCCTTGCCCATAGGCTTCCGTCTCTTTACACAACTTGATGTGTAGTAGGCGAACAAAATTAGTTACCTCCATATTGGTACATACGCATGGTACATGGAGTCAGAACCGAAGCCTAGCCATTGGTTAGGCTTTTAAAACCCCCACTTCTGCAATGAAAACAACGTAAAACTTACCCAGGAAAGGTGCATTCTATAGTATCATCTCCAACCTTAGCGAAGCCATATTTTGCAAACTGAGCTACCATGAAGAAAAACCGCACCATCAAACCAGTTGGTGGAGAAAAGCTTTGAATCCTTTCTTCATACTGGTCCACGTCTGAAAAAAGATTAGTCTATTCTATATCAATCAAGATTATCTAATATTATTGACTGTAGGTACTCTGGTTTTTGCCTTATATACCGGTACACTCGGGTATTTGCGGGTAGCTCGCGAATTGGTAACCTACAGGTTCTAGTTCATTTTACGTGTCTTTTTGCAACGCGAGTCACTCACTGTTCAAATAAAACCTAGCAACAATAAATACGAAAACGCGCCGCCATGTTTCGATTCTTTCTGTCACTTTTACGCTTGGGCGACCACGATTCTGTCGATTTCGCGCACTATTGGTTTTGGCAGACTTTATGAGATTTTTGCTTTACGGCCGGGGTCACACGGTGTCGGGGATACGCTGAAGTAACCACAAATTCTATGCTCTCGCGTTTCTATACAAGTTGTATTCATTCTCTACCTTTTGTGTGTTTACATCACAAAGAACGCGACGCTCACGCTCTTTGTTTGCTTTTATTGGAACCAGTTAAAACCGGTTAGAACTGGTCTAAAGGCATACGAAGATTACCCTTCATGATTCCGGGTTATAAGATTTTTTTTGCCGTGATTTATTGGTTATACGGTCCGAATCATAGACAAGCTAGTTACGGAATTATTCTAAGATAGTTGACCAATTCAAGTATTTCTAATACATCCATAGCCTTCAAATAAATGCATTCTTACCTATTATAATGTTGGGATCGTTTTCGGCCATTACTGTATGAGTTGTAAAGCTCGAGTAGTCGTTTCTAAAATTAGGAATATTCAGTTGGAGCTGTGTGATAATTTACTAAATGGGCGACATAAACGAAGGGCAGTTACTGTGCGATCACAGTCGCAATGAAATTTTCTCTTTCAAAGACCTTTCGATGGAATTCTTATATTTATTAAAGTCATTTCAAGAAACTAAATGCTGTCGACTGCCATGCAGCGGAATTTAATGAGGGCTGTGACGTCATAACGCAAAATATTATTTAGAAAAAAATGTGACGTCACGATAAGAAAATATGACGTATCTTATGGCTCAATGATGCGCTAAACATTGTAGTATCTTACATATTTACTTTTTGCGGAGCCTTCTTTTATTTATATCTTGCTCAAAACTCTTGTTTACCTTGTGATTGGTTTGTCAAATTGTACACTATTGCCCACTAGAAGAACTCGAAGAACAGGAAATTTTCACAATTTGGTGATCAAAAGTTCGGCAGAAGTTGACTTGCAATTTCTTCGCAGACAAACAGCAAAAATCTAGCTCATTAAGCAAATATATGTTCTGTAATATAAATAAGATTCAAGACAGAATGAAAAAATATACAAATATTTATTTCAATTCTGATTTTTTACCCCTCAGTAACCCTTGAAGATTTGCTGTAGGGTATTTGGGACCTTTATACAAGTGATTGTCAAGCATAGTTTCGCCAGTTCAGTTCAGGGGCTCCGCAAGTTTGCTTTCAAATATGAAAATCTTTATTAATATATGTATATTGGTCTGGTAATCCTGAAGTATGCGTACCAAGATAGCGGACACCGGAACGTGGTATGTGTCTGAAACATCGTCGGCTATAAAGATATGACTCGCTCGCTATAATACAGGATAGGGTGGCCGCTAAAAACCAAAAATTTGAAGGTCAGATGAAATCATGAATAAAATGCTTATAAGTATAGGTTGAATTGGAACGATATCCCAAAGCCAACATTTGACTTCTAAGTTATGACACTGCTCCGAAGTGCACGGACAACATGTTTACATCTATGAGTGTAATATACCATATGCCTTTGAAAAATTTTGTAAAAATAAATATCTGCTTGACAAATTTTCTGATTTTCTAGCGACCACCCTGTATTTACGATTATTTAGTGAGGGGGTTCTTTATATACTTTATAGGCAATTTAAGCTGTGTATGTGAAACTTGTTTTTGTACCGAGACCGATTGTAACGTGATGTGCGTCCGAATTTGTTAGTAAGGTTGGAGATTGGTGAGTCAAAAGGAGAGAAAAGAAAAAGGCAGGGTATTTCAATTGTGAGAGAATATAAAATATCGATGAAAAGAGAAAAAATGCGAAGAGAAGAACAGCACAGTACTCACATGACTATTTTCAAATATTTAGTCTGGTAAATGTTTGCACTAGGCCTAAACTAATAAGGAAGTGCTAGCATAGGTAGGGCGCGATTTGGGTGTGTTCATGGGCCGAATTTATTCCCTGTCGGGGAACGTTTGCACAATTTGAATCTTCGACCTGAGCCCCAACAATCCTCAGTAAACAAGTCCGTATTATTAATACTACTGTAAATATAGTATTCATTAATAAGAATGCCTCATATACACAATTATTCACTAGTTACATTCATTCATATAAATTACAATAAATCTAGTGTTATCAATTGAGATGTGGCAGGAAACGTTACACATAGCAAGGATGCGATTACCCAAGTGTTTAATGTGTTGGTCAGAGATGTCTCATGTCTGTATACCACTTTACATCTCACTCGGAATACAATGAATTCGGTGATTTAATCTTTAAACACCATAAAAACCGCCTACATCTATATTGATGCAGCTTGCCTAAAGGTAAAGAATATTGCATACTCATACATATGTCCTTCAAGCAAAGGTGTGCAAACTTTAATACGGAAGGGCCAGATACACATGACTGGGTGAAACTGCCATTTTATTATCGATATTTTTTCTTAACAAGAAGCACAACACAAATCTTCGATCTAAACTTTAACCACTCCCGAAATTAGGCGGGCGCGTATTATCAATATTATATATATGGATATAATGTAATTTATGTCATATATTCAACGTAAATAATTTCCAATATACACAATTATTCAATAAAATCACAAGAAAATGTGACTTCCTCAATTTTATATTTCTTGAAAATATGATCCTGCTACCATGACCCGCTGTTACGATCAGTTGATGCTTAGTGTTTGAAATTTGCCACTTTTTACGCGGTGTATTTAGCGTCATGGAAAATTACAGTGTTTCCGAAGCGGCGTTTTCTATTCCGGGAGAAATCGTTTGAGCCTCGTTGTCGCTGTCGAGGAAGGACTGGTATTGTGCAATGTCTGTGAGGCGGTGTACTACCGCACCAGTCAAATCTCGTTCACAGACACTGTACCTGAGAAACCACCGGGGTTTGCCTTCGCGTCGCGATTTTCGAACCGGCTTCTCGGCTTCTCGCTATCGAAATGCTATTTAATTAAACCAACGAGAATCAAATTTTGAACGGATATAAAAAAAAAACAGATATATACGCTACCCATATTCAAATCATCTCATAAGATGCGTTATGGCATAGAAATATTGTGTATGTTTATACAGAAATGTATCGGCCGATTGCATACCGTTATCGTAGACATCAATGTATAACAGCTCTTGGCGAACAAACGCTAGCGCCTTTTTTAGTAGCAAAACTCCATTTGAAAAACCCAATAGGGCAACACAATGTGCGTCAGCATCTGCTTTTTACACATGCTAAAACCGGTACTCCCGTAGTGTGTGTACCAGATTAGGGTTAGGCCATAATTTCATTCCGATTTCTTATTTTTTTTTAGTTCTATTACGAGTTCGGAGACTGTCAGTGTTAGCCAAATGAGTTTATCCCCTGCCCACAGGTTTCATTCCCTTTACACAACTTGATGTAAAGTAGACGAATAAAATTAGTTACCTCCATATTGGTACACACATTTCTGGAGCGCCCTACAATCTGCATCGTCCAGGCCCCGTGATAAAACGACACGTCTCCGCTCACAGCAGTTATGAATAGCTGCGGTTAGGCGTTGCTGTGTATGATTTTTTGCCCACGAGAATTATTCATTAGGACCACATGCCGTATGTTTGTTCCCGAGTTTAATGGACGCATCATAATGTAACTTGCGTTATAGTGTGTTCCGTTTCAGCATTTTAATATATTCCATGTAATAATATGCTCATTCGGTTTGTAGAAAAAGGGAAGGTATTCAGGACGCCATCTCGTTTCATTTATGCTTGGTTTGAATGCTAAGGCGGCGTTGTAGGGGGATCGGGCCATGTTTGGAACTTGTACTATTCAAGGCAGTATGAAGAAAAAAAAACGAGAGAATCGATGAAAAAAATGTGGATGAAATTTATGAATACGTGAGATAGAGGATAGAAGGCCGAAAGAAAGAAAAAGGGTTTGAACAAATAGGCCTACGTGAAGCTCAGGTAATTATATATGAAAAAAGAAAAATATTTAGAAAAAGGGGAGTTGTTGTTAAGTGGATGACTATTTAAGGGGGAAACTCCGCACACAGATCATTCTAGGTTGTTTGAAATATAAAAGAATGCACTAGGCGAGGAGTAGGGTTTGAAATGTATTCCGTTGTGGTGGTGTGCCCTAAGTTATATTGGCTTATTGGCAGAATTGGACACTTTTTGATTCTTATATTGTAAATTAATGCGACGTTGCCCTACGAAAAAAGTTTTATTTGAAATAATTTTTATGAGGTATAATATAATAGCAATCAACTGGATATGGAGATAAGGATCAATTATGAATATAGAATGTTTTAAAATAAGGGAAAAAAAACAAAAAAATGTTCTTATGTAATTCAACCCATGAATACAAGAAAAGAGTTTTATTACACTTGATTATCTTTTTTGTTCAATATAATTATATAATATGAGTTTTTCGTAAAGAGGTGTGGAAAATAAATTTATAAAAGGAGTAAGTTTTAATTCAAAACTATTTATATTAATTTGAAAAAACATTCGTATTTTTATTTTATAAAAATGTGTGTATTATTTAATTTACCGTGTAAAACGAATTTTATACACTTTCATTCGATATCCACAGCCAAAAGACAGCTTGAACGCGTAATACACGATTTCTTTGCGCCGATAATGATAGCAGTGGTGTGGCAGGAATTGTGAGGGTAACGCGAGCTGCGAAAGACTGAAGTTGCCATTACGACAAGAGGCGTAGAATGTGCTTGTATAGAGCGTAGAATGAGCTTGTTGAGTAAGAATTGAATCACCACCGAAGCACAACGAGCAGCACTGAACAGACAAACGAGTGACAAAAAAAACGAGAGAAAGTTAGAAAAAAGTATAGTCAGTCAGCGAACAAAACAGCCAGTGGTACTCCTGTGTTGTGCCAGACTATAAAAATATTTTTGATGTTCAGTTCACCTTATGTTATTCAGTTAACGAAGCTCTTTTCTATCACAACCTCTCAAACGCTATAGATGGCGTTTGGGCATTGGCGCTCTGTGCGAAAATAAAGTAAAAAAAAAGATCAGTTAGCAAAATACTTCATCCAGTTCGCCAAGTCATTTCATCCCACTGCCGCCGCTACGGACGCGTTGTTCCGAGTCATAAATGCTGTAGAAAAAATATTTTATTATTACCTGTTACGACCTTTCTTCACGAAATGCTAGTTTTTCTTGTATAACAAATTGAAAAATACATGAAAATAATGGATCAGTGATTTCTAATGCGAATCGGGAGTTACCCTAACATAAACTGATCCGTAATGGGCAAAAAGGCAATATTCTAAATTACCGTAAGTTGCTCCAAATTTTCAAAATCTAAAACAAAAAATTTAAGTTTAAATATCAATTCAAATTTCATTACCACTGAGTCTTATGTGAAATTATTGGGTACTTATAAAAACTGATAGAAAATTTTATCAAAGTCGATTGCGAAACGAATAACCTCCCTCAGCAACTATCGATGTAACTTCATATTTTGTGTGGCTGTCTTATTATTATACCAACATTCCTTTGTATTCGATGTCTTTAGGTTTTAATGATATCCCTCAATACATGCACACGTCGCGGCAATGTCAGAGATTGGAATACTACGAAGTCGGGCTTATATATATAGCCTGAAGAGATTTTTAAATTATTCTTCCGGAGTCGGAGTCGGCTGTTGCGATACTGGGATTGGTTTTGGTCCAATGATTTTGTCAGAGTCTCAGCAATCGTATATCGATACGGCAGAGTGCGTGCGTATCAGGTTAGAGTTTGGAATAAAATTATCGCCTAACCCTAACCTAGTACACACACTACGTTCCGATGTCAGACATCTTGGTTCACATAATTCGGGAGCGACGAAAAAAATACGTCACTGACAATCAACTTTGTCAAAAATTTCATATTTTATATTCCAGGCCTAAACTCCAATTAGACGAGCAAATAACTGAATTCAATTTTACCCCATAAACAGTGTTTGGTTTCGAAATTATAGGAACGGGTTTTCTAATAACAGATTCCTCTTTTCTCAATAACATGGA